TTTTTCATTAAGCAATTTTGGCACAACTAATGTTGCAAAATGAATTAAATGAGCATGTACTATCTATAAAACATGGGTGAATGTTTGTTACTATGATACAGATTTTCAAGCAACAACTTTTAAAAAAAGAAGATGGTATTTTTAGTAAAAATTGACAGAACATGAAAGAGGAATGAACAATATAATTACAAAAATTTTATAAACAAAATAAGTCTTCAAAAATTTGAACATTTAAATTTTTACAGATTTTTTTAGTTGCAACAAAAAGTTTTTTTGCTTTTCTAAAATAATATAAAATTAATTAACAGAATTAATCAAACAAATATTTTCTAATACTAAATAAGATTCAAATTAATTCAACAAAAATCAAATTAAATATTTACAAAATATTTTGTAAATATTTAATTTGATTTTTTGAATGATAGATTTTTTAAATTGATCTATCCATTTCACTTTTTCCTTTTAAAACAATATTTATTCATTTCCTTTTAAAACTAATATTTGTTCATTTCTATGTGTTGTAGCCACTTTCAAGATTTTTTTGCACTATTCACCTGTATTGCCCATACCCTATATTTGCCCATACTCAATACAGGGTATAGGGTATATATATCTTCCGACGTCAATCCAACGTCCTTAAAACGACGTCGGAACAACGTCGTAAGACATCGCTGATGAAAATTTAATCCAAACCCAACAATATGTGTGCAATTGCGCTCTTCAATAATTATGTGAACTAAGCGTGTTTTTTTGTTAATGGAAAAAAGTTTGAATAAAGGTTGATAAAACATCATGAGGTTTTGTATGATGCACTAGCATAAATTTTTAACTATTAACATTTTCGAGTATACATTTTTTGTAATATATAACTATTCGTTTTAATATTTATATAATATTTTTATTCCTACCATGTCTTCATTATTGATGGCACTTTGCATAGTTTTGTCACTTTATTCAGCATTCTCTGAGCAAGCTGAAACTCTGCATTTTTCTCTGAAACTCTGCATTTTTCTCTGAAATTCTGCATTTTTCTGGTCATTTTCAAGATTTCTTTCCCTTTAACATAGCTTTTTGTTACATTTTTCAATTTTTTCAAGTATCAATAAGTTCTTGCTTGTAAATAATACTACTGTGATCAAAAAGTAAGGTGAATTTTTAATTTAAACTTCCCGCCTTAATCGAATTGTCCAATCTTTTTTATTTTTAAGTTGGTAGGAATGTCATTAACATTTGCGCCAAATTACATGTCAAACTCATAATTATTTTTTTTTGTTTACGCTTGTTTCTGAAGTACCAAAAGTGCATTCAGCGATTTTCACGATGTCTAATTTTGTTGAGCAAAGAAGTGCTATTAAATTTTGTTTGCGGAATGATATTTCTGCTGCTGAAACGTATCGAATGTTGCAAAAGGCCTTCGGTGAAGAGACTATGTCTCAAAAAAATGTTTACAAGTGGTACAAAGACTTCAAAGAAGGCCGAGAACGTGTTGATGACTTGGAACGCTCCAGACGACCATCGACTTCAATTGATGATCGCCACATCAACAAAGTCAAAGAATTGGTGCTTGCAAATCGTCGGTTAACCATTTGAGACCTTGTTGACATGGTTGGAATATCATTTGGGTCGGTGCAAGCGATTTTGAAGGATCATTTGCACACAGCACTGGTTCTTCGTGAGTTTTTCGCCAAAAACTCTACCCATGTTGCTCCACAACCACCGTATTTGCCCAACTTAGCACTGTGTGACTTCTGGCTGTTCCCAAAGCTCAAGAGATCACTCCGGGGAAATCGTTTTGAGTCCATTGAAGAGATCCAACGTGAATCGGCACACGCATTGAAGGCTATCCCTACCGAGGACTTTTCGGCATGCTTTGAAGACTGGAAAAAACGTTGGCAAAAGTACATTGGGGCCGGGGGGGGGGGATTATTTTGAGGGGGACGATACAGATTTGGAAGAATAAATAAAGATTTTTCATTTTATAAAAAAATTCACCTTACTTTTTGATCACAGTAGTACACATTCACATATTCACATCTTAAGCGTTCTTCTTAAGCGTTCTTCTTCTCCTTCCTCTGATTTTCTTTTTTTATTTACTTTATTTTGAACTGATTAAACGTCTTTAGAGAGAGCAGCAACATATGCTCCCTAGCAACTTCTTGCATATTATTTTGATTACTGTTTTATTTAGCTTTAGTTTCATTTAGCTCTGATGTCAATTTTTTTTTATCTGATAAACTTCTCTTTGAGCTAGCTTTTCCAATCTGAATCCACAAATAAATGTAAGAAGAATGTACTTTATTTAAGTTACAAACAAGAAATAATTAAGTTTGTGAAACCATATATTAATCAATACCTAGGATGTAAATTGGATCCAACGCTTTCTTTAAAAAATCATTTTAAGGATAGTTTTAAGAAAAGTATGCTATTGCTTAAAATTGATGAGTAAATTAAAGATTTTCCTTCCTGCAAAGGAAGATCTCCAGATTTATCAACAAATTATTGTTCCAATATTAATAATTCCAACATCAATTATAATATTGATATAAATCATAATTTTATAATTATAATTATAATTTTTAAATTATAATTCTAATATTAATATAAATTATAATTTTACAGATTTATCAACAAACTATTGCTCCAATATTAATATAAATTATAATTAATATTATATTTTATAATATTATATTGCTCCAATATTAATAATTTCCAACATCAATTATAATTTTACAGCAACAAAATAAGCCAAACTAAGTTCATTTGACAGAAGAGTAAAAGATATAATTGCTAGCCATCACAATCTTAAGGAAATTGAGAAAACCATCAAAAGAGACTCATGCTTATTTGTAAAAAAGTGTTTAAATTATGAAACTTTATGAAAATTTTACTAATCACTTCAAAACTATTAAACAAGAAATGTACATGTAAGAATGTACATGTACATTCTTACATATGTACATACAATGTACATGTACAATGTACAATGTACATGTACAATGTACAATGTACATGTACAATGTACAATGTACATGTACAATGTACATGTACAATGTACAATGTACATGTACAATGTACAATGTCATGTACATACAATGTACATGTAAGAATTGTTGACACTTCCGAAAGTAAAACTCAAATAACAGAAAACTCATTTTACTTTTCAGGAGCAAAACTTTTCACAAGTTACCTTTAGACATTAGAAATACGGCAGAACTATCATTATTTAAAAAAAATAATAAACAACCACTTTTTTTTAAAGCAGCATTAATGTACACTTTAATAACTTTAATACTTTTCAGACTTTTTGTTATTTTTGGATAACTATAATTTCTGTTTTAAGTTTTAGTTTTTAAACAGGACACATGTTGATAACAGTTTTTATTTACATGTTGATAACAGCCACATTATTTCTGCAGCTAAAATTTTTGTTTAATTTATAAAATTTATAAAATACTCTAATTGCATTTTGATTTTTTGTTTAAATCTACATATAAACGAAAAATAGTTTTTGAAAATCTAATATCAGAAACTGATTTATATTTAGGTTTTAAAGATAATGAGCTTGGAAACCAACAGAACTTTTAAATTACTTAAATATTGTTAGACTACATGATAACAGTTCAAAATTTGATTGTGAGCCCATAATTTGATTATAACTAGACTTTTATCTAACTTTTCCAATCACACATTATTTCTTTTAATCATTATGCCTGAGAGCAATCTATAAAGTTACATACTAAATATTAAAAATAGTTATCAGTAACTTTACTAATACTTACATTTCTATTGTATTGTTTTAACTTTAAGCTCTCAATTCAAATTATCAAAAAATAATTAAACTTTAATAAAGAAGATTTTAAAATGAAGAAAACCAAACTCTGAATATTTAAAAAAAAAAAAAAATATTTGTGAAATTGTTTAAAAAAAATAAAAAAAATTAATAAAAAAATTAAAAAATGATCAAAACTCATAAAAAAGAGCTATAATAAAGTATATATAAATAAAAGATTATAGTATAATAAAATATATGTAAATTGTTATTATAAAATAATTTTAGTTGTTAGAATTTTTTTTTTTTTTAATTTTAATTCACCTCTTCAAGGCTGAGAAGGCCACTACAGACGAGGAGGCTACTTATTTGTAGTTATAACCCTCTCTCAACTCTATAACTCCGAAACACGAACCTTGACGAACAAGGCCAGAAACGAGTTGAGCACGGTACTACCAGGGACCTGGTAGGGATCGAATTACAGCTTATGTTAAGATGAATACTTATTTTCTTAAAATAACTTTATTGAAACTAGTTCTGTGGTCACCTTCACCTGAACCATTTATTTGATAAATTTTATGATCCCTAACAACATTACTTACTTAATTAGTTGTTGAAGTTAAATAAATGACATCCTTTGGTTAGGCTGTCAAAGAATTTAATCACTGTTTAAACTTATATTTATTTTTAATTTTTGCATGATTACAGTCTTTAAATTTGAATAAATTGTTATATATTTAAAAGTGTTTAAAAATTTTTTTAAAAAGTTAAAATTATTAAACAAGATTATATAATGGTTTGTGGGACTATTATAGTGTAATTTAATCACCTGATAATCTGTTTTTCAATGAAGTAACAGCTTATTTAGATTTCTTGTTTTAGCATCAAACAATACTTTACCACAATAGTATTTGTTGTTTGAAGTAGTACTTTTTGATCACACAGAAGAGTAAATTTTGGAATGAGTTTTATTACCAACTGATAAAGCAGACAATATAAGTAAACAATTAAACAGATATTTTTTCTGTAATATATCGTAAAGTTTGGTCGCTATGTAACTCCTGTTGTTTAAAAATAAACAACAAATGTTTATATATATTAAAATGCACACAATGGCAGGCCTAAAGCAGCAAATAATATCGATTTTTTTTTTCTTGACAAAAAAGAAAAAAAACAATATTAGAGTAACGAATAAATAAAAAAGTTGAAAAAAAATGTTAAACTAAAGTAC